GGTCCTCAGGTAAGAAGTGGCTCAGGGTAGAATGAAGGGTTGAGCAGCACCAAAATGGAATGAAAGACTTATCCATCTCCCCAGGTGGAGCATTTTCTGGAAACAGCACCAAAACATGGCACCATTGTCCTAAGAAGAGCCAGAGATCCTAACTATCTGTCTAAGATTTGTAAATCCTTTTGAAACATTTTTAAAAGGATTTTTTCAAGAAATGCTTTATCTGAAACTGAGAAACATTATTTTGAAATGAAATATCAACAAAGATATTTCCCTATTCCACAATTTCCATATGAATATGGAATCCTAACTTCAGTGAGCACCTATCTTTAAGTTTCAAAATTGTCTCCTCCTGCATTTATTGAGACACCAGTTTTTATTAGAATTTAACTAATTATGAAAAAAAGAGAGTCTCACTAATTACCAAGTAAGTGTAGGGTGCACTGTTTATGATGAATAGGGCTGTCCAGTCTTCTTTCTTTTTTCTTCAAAGTAAATTATTTATCTAGATTACATGTATGTAAAAGTTAGGATTTCCTTAGTTATGTACAGTAACTACTTTATGTGTGCCTTTGAAATCTCTCAGTGTATTGGCACTGCACACATCACATTCTGCTTTAATTGAGTAATAAAAGGGTTCTCTTTTAAATCTCTTTTAACTTTGTGGAGAGGTTTTCTGAGTTGGAGACTCTTTGCTTTTAATATTTCCTGAACACTTTCCAGAATTAAAAATGCAACATAAACATAAAATGTGCCCACCACTTCTAATTTAGTAGGTGTTAGGACACGAGATTCCTTCTTGAGCTTCCAGTCTATAACCTGCAACTCTGCAGCACAGAGCTTCACTGTCTCCACATCTGCACACAGTAAGTTCTCTAGGCCTCTTTGGTATGTACTGTCCCTCTTGGGCATACTTAGACCAGATTCCTGTGAATACACTCTCATAGGATAATAATCACTAGTTCTATTCTTTCTCTAAATGCATCTCACATCTTTAAAACTGAAATGGATTAAGAGACCATAGGGCCCAGACACAAACGGGAGCAAGATAATGTGCACTGGGTTCGACACATAAACTCCCTTTCTGCCTTCTTTTTGCCCAAATGCCAGGAAATGTGCAGTGAGTGGTACTGAATTCATGCCTCTCTAGAGACCTAAATCTGCAGCTCTGAATTCTGAATCCAAGGTCTGAGGTTCCTCAGGAA